TTATTGCCTTTTTTTTCTAAAAGAATAGTAATATTTATAGTTACTTTTTTACTCTCTAAAAAATAGTAATATTTATTAAAAGGAGTAATAAACTTAACTATATAATTTAGCTAATTATAATATAAGCTTATATAAGCTTTTTAATATTATAAGTATTACTTTTAGGGTAAAGCTGCTTATAAAAGTAAAACTTATTAAATTTAAGGGAAAGGGTATAAAGCTACCTTCTTATACTAGTAAAACAGTATAATCAAATAGTTCCTCCGATTTCCTCCGCTATGTGAGCATTAGAGCCGCTATATAATATTTATAATACTAAGAATTTTCCTGCTCTTAAAGCTTAACCTATTAAATAAATTATATAAAAAGGGAAAATCCCTAAAATAAAAACCTAGTTAATATATATATACTACTAAATATTACCTAATAAGGTTACTAGTAAACACCTTATTAGGGCGCCTGCCCTAACTTATATATCTAGCTTAGCACGTCTAATACCCTTATATAGAGGTCACCTACCCTAGACGTTAAATAATATATACATATATACATACTACTCTCCGACACATGACAAACGCCTAGCCAGCTCAGAAGCAACAGTTCAAGGTAATGAATTTACTGTGCTCTATAGTGTCGCTCTATTTTCAACGCATTCAACAAATTCAACGCTCTTTTCCTCTCTTCCCCATTGCGGATGTCGTTCTTTTGAACTGGCTACGCCAGCGTCTTCCAAGAATAGGCCACCTAGAATAAAGCGACAACAGTCTCTCGCCTCGGCCGCTTCATGTTCTCGTCGGTGCAAGTCGGCTATAATTTGCGGGGCGCACGGCGATGCCGCTGGTGGTTGTACGAGAGAAAAGCATGGAGGCGAAATTTATGACGTGTCAATTCTGTCAAAGGGACCAAGGTGAAACATGTCTGCTTGCCCTCAATCCCGCAGATGGGATGGAGGATAAGGCAGCCGACCACAGCTCACCAGCTACCCGGGCCAACAATCACAGGCCAGTGCGCAGTACATGTACTTGTACGTCGACATATTCTAGAGGATGCAGGCTGTGGTTCATATATCAAATGCCAGGGTCGAGTAGCAATACCCCTCCGGGCTCCTCGGATCCTCACGGTCACACGCTCCAACTTGAAGACAGCCCTCGTGACGGGTGCTAACGGCGGCATCGGCATCGATGCTCGTGACAGCTTCTGGACCTTGGGCTAGGGAAGCGGATGTTTGCCGTCGGCAACGAAGTCAAAGGCGAGGCGCTCCGCAAGACCTTGCCGGGCACAAAGACGCTGGAGCCCGGTCAAACCATTGAGGTATGGAAGCTGGGTTATGGATCCTATGAGTCCCAGTCCATGTCCGTCACAGCCTTGTGCTCCTCAAAGCCGGCGTCAACTGCCAATATTCATGTTCCATGACCGTCACTGAGGCACCCGCATCTCTCGTCAGCAGTCTTGGGGCCTAGCTCGCAGCCCCCAACCTCGTGCTGCGGACCATTGATGGTATTGCCCAGTCCCGGGCCGTCCGTGTTGATGTTAGGCAGCGGACGACTGTCCAAGCTAGATCCAATGTGCCAAGACAGACTGTCGTCCTTGTCCTTACTGTCTCCGTCAGGATCATCCTTATGAGGCGGCCGACGCAGCCATCGGGTCAACTGGTCTGCCGCCTTGCCCGAGATAGCCGCGATGCCATCGAGCCCTTCCGCTTCATCCCACTCACGGCCTTGGACATCGCCGGCACGCACAGGACCAGAATCCCGCACACGCCCTCGACCACTGCCATCAGCTGCACCATCGACGAGTGGTACGTCAGGTCGGCGCTCGTGGCTTTCAACACGGTGACGTAGAGCCGCACAATGGACGCGACACAGGCAGCCATGCCCAGCGTAAACACAATTGAGACGCCGAGCTTGCGGCGCCGTGACGTGTTAAGAGTCCAAATAATGCGCTGCGGAAGAAACAAAACAATAGTGTCGATTGCGAAGGCCAAGCAGGCCGTCGCCAGGGCCAGATGGGCCGTGTTTACTCCGCAGTAGCCTCCTATAATTCTGCGGTGCCAGAGGTACTCATGCGGCACACAAGATAGATTGACCAATATTACCGCCACTGTGAAGTAAACAATATTGGCCCAGATGATGAAGTGACACGTCCAGAAGAACAGGGGACGCTGATTGCCGCCATCTGGCAGGAAGATGCAGATCCACTCCACGAGGATGGCTGTCTTGATCGTAATGATGAGACTGAGGAACATGCACGTCGTGGGAATGGAAAGCTATACATTGTACAATGTTAGGACGCGGAATAAACGCCCGGAATGCCTTGAAGACATATTACTTCAGACGACTTGACTTATGCGCAAGAATTCCATCAGGTCACTCATGTGTAAATCCCATTGATGGACGAACCAACCAGGATTCCAGCTGAGACGGATATATATAATGAGGATCGAGAGATATATCGTGTATAATGTCAAGCAGAGATATTATTGCAGCTCAAACTTGCACAAAACTACCCATCTTGAATAGACATGGAACAAGACGGCAATTGTCGAGACAGCGAGACACACAGAAATGACGATCAAGAGCATGGCGTTGCTGCTGGTTGGCCGCTCGAAATTCCGCACCACGCCCGGCGGCAGCTCCATGGCTGGCAAGTCTATGGCGTGAGGGGACGACATTTCATGATTTATTTTTTGCTTTCTTGTCTTGCTCTCCTTCTGCTTCTTTTTGAAAAGAAAGTAGGTGCTTACTACAACCCGACCTATCCACGGCGGCAGACAGAAGAGAAAAGGGTGTAAAGGTGAGTGAACGGCCGACAAATATGGGGATAAGGTGTTAGCTAGAGGACGTCTGGTGCAATTGAGAGGATGTCAGCGGCCGATGAAAGGGTGACCGCAGTCCGTGTAGAGCGACAAGCATTCAGGCAACAGAAGCTACGCCATTCCGGCACTTCGATGAATAGTTAGAATATAACGAAATATTATATTGTCTATAGCAATGTAACTCATGTATTTTACTTTGTTGCTTGGTGTGTACTGCCAGGTGTAGTACTTGGCGAAGAGTACGCCTCTTCCCTCAAAGCCCTCAAATGACTTGTTGTTATAACAAGACCCTGTCCTCTCTCCCCGTGAAATTGCCCAATATGTGCGTTTTTATCGGTTGAATCATTCCACAAGATGCAATCAAAGTGGGGGAAGATGATGACAAGAATGTAAGCGTGTGGGTGACTACAAGCATGATGCTTGGGACAAACATTCCCTCTGTCTCCCCGCCTGTTGCGTATGTGCCCTGACGCTCTGTCACAGCAAATTTTATAGCCGTTATAAGTGCGGATAATGCAGTAGGGTCTCGATGTTGATGCATATACTGCCTCACTGTCTCGAATTCTGCCTGCATTTTATCCACCTGCGGAGTAGAATAAACCGAAAAAGCCACTGACATGAGAAGAGATTCATCGTATCGTATCGGTGTATGCCAATTCAAAGCTTGGTACGACAGCGAAATTCGTCTCTTAAATTCATGTCTGGCTTACGAGCGTTTGATCAAAACCGGCATTGACGACTTGAGGTAGCTCTTGGTCTCTGCTGGTAGCTCACGTCAGCCCATGACTAAATCCGAGACAATTCGGTGGTATTGTAAAGCCTTCGCGCGGCTGAGTTCGGCATTATCCCCAAGAATGCAAAAACAGATGTTACAGTAATACTTGTGTGAAAGATCAACTGAAAGATAATTGATGATTGCGCCACTGGCTGAGCCTTGTGCGTCGACATCGTCGGCACACATGACGACTCCAAATCGCTATGCGAAGCACAACGGCTTCATTCCCCTCTATTACTCGTTTAAACCACACCGCTCCAGACGAGAAGCTATAGTCCACCCGGGACTGAGGATTAACGGCCATTCCTTGAGACCGGGTAGCTTCTCATTTGTTCTCAAAGAACCTAATATTCAACTAACTGAATGTCAGTTCCTGTAACTCCAATAATAGTATATATTGGATTCGGAAGCCTTCAACATGAAATACATAGTGCCCATGACTTGATCCCAATGTGTGGATGGTCTACTACTTGTGGGCTATCCCTTTATAGAAGACTTCAATTCAAGAACTCTTCTGACCCAGTATATAACGTCTCGTGATATTTGTTTGGAACTATCGTTATCCGCGCGACATGTCTTCTTCCACCTCTGCTGCCCTATGCGCCTTTTGCCTTGAGCTCTGAAAGCAGCTTAGCAGGTGTGAAGTAGTACTGTCGTACGGATTAGGTCAGCCGACAATGGTTACACAATGTTATCACGGACCAGTTCGGAAAATCAGGCATCTCTATTCCCTTCATGTATCTAATAAATCAAGCCCGCCTTGTCATCCCTTCAAGAACCAAGGACCTTTAACACTATATAAAACTATCTTCAAACTAAGCCATCACACTCCAAGCCCTATTTATCAGCTCTTGTCACAAATACGGCATATTATCCACTCGTACTCTTAGATGTGCTTCCTGCCTGCTTAGCTAAAATACAGCCGTAGCCTTACAAATCAAAGGACTCGGGCAGTATGACAGACTCATCAAGAGGCAACTCCTTGCACCTTTCAATGTAGCTAGCACAGGTTTCCTTGTATTGAGAAAGACCAAGCTTTTCCAACCAATCCTCCCAGCCCGGCTTTTGCTCTTGCCTGGTCGCCATTTCGTACAAATCTTTGAAATCGGCCTCAAATTCTAGTTCTGATTTGCTGCAAATAGACAATATCTGCCGCACAAACTCAATCCAGAATTTGATCATGTTGGTGTCGAAAGTACACTCGAAGTGTCGAAACTCTATAGTTTCGATATCCTTGCGAAATGCAAGACTGGTTCTCGCCATTATTCCGTCTAGCAGATCCAGTACAAAATCGTCAACTTCTTTGGCTGCGTCCACTGGAGCTGAAAATAGAAATTCCAAGAATCTAAACACGTAGGCTTCCTCGGGGCATTTGTTCTTTAACTGGTGTCGAAATCGATCGATAGATTCTATCAAATTCTTGAATTTCGGATGGCGAACTAAGCAACGCGAATCGGTTTTGGCCTGTGAGGCTAATGCCGACTTATCACCAATAAACCTCAGGTGCGCCGCCGATCGTCGATCTGGATGACAAAGCTCACGGATCAAAGTCTTTTCGAGCAAGAATACTATCGCAGCTACTTTTTTAGCTCTGATTAAATACTCGGGAGTCTTGGAACCCTCGGGACCCTCGGGACCCTCGGAATCCTTGGAATCCTGCGGCAGATTCGAGTGATAACCGACGTGGATGTGCAAGCCGCAATTGGTGTTGATTGATATTTTGAAGTTTTTTCTCAGTGTCTCCACCAAATCCAAAAAGTCCTTTTCTTGTGTCGGTTCGGAGATGATCGGTGATATCACTTCCAGGATAGGGTACCCTAGCGTAGTTTCAATGGCACGCTCCACCTCGAAATTCGAAATGGCGAAACGCAACGGTAGCTTCTTAGGGCTTTCGTCAAGTTTTATATTCCAAACTCGGTAGTCTGTTTTTTCACTATGCTTTCCAATGTCGGTATCATTAGCGATAGAGAGGCGATGGATTTGAAACTGGCCGTCATCTGTCTTGCTTTCGCGCAGAAGAATGCTGCTGTCTTGAGTTGTTATCAATGGATCCTGGGACTCTGTAATGTCGAGTATGCATGCGACCTGGCGACCTTGATCTTTTAGAAGCTTGCAAATCTTCAACACGCTTTCCGAGTCGCAATGATCAGAATCTGCTTTGGGATTCGGCACAGGTGGCCAGCGATCGTCTTCGGACGAGGCTGCTTCATTAGTGGGTGTCCCTGGTTTGTTGACAACCAGGAATTCCAGCTCCAGGCCAATTGTAGTTGGATTTACTGTAGTTGCAGTTGACGACATTGTATCCAGGAAGAATGATGCAAGTTGTGGAGTGGTGACACTTGTTGTCTTGCTGAAATCGCTCGTTGTCAGAGGGCAGAAGGTTGTTGGTTACTGCTTGGCCGGCGTGTTGTAGCAGCATGATGGTCGGAATACGAGGGGACAGTCTCTTATTTATATACCCAAACGTCTGACACGTGAAAAATAAATGTTTCCCATAAGTCATTGTGCGTAATGAGTTCAGAAGATGTCTAGGAGATGTTGTCCCTCGGGTGATTGCCCGTTTCAAGTAGAACAAAAGAGCCAGGGTACATGCAACCTTGGTGAATCAGGGTCTAGTAAGCCGAGGAGAAAATCGTGTTTATTTTAAGTTCACACATGGGCCATCTTCTTTCAAGTCATGTAGCTACTTAATAGCAGGCCGGCCACGTAGTATATTTCCAAAGTATCAGTCTGGATGCATACTCCAACCACTGGCAGGGAAGTGGTGAATGACGCCGACACCTGAAGCTAGCTGTATTTGGCGAACAAAGAAACCAGAATATTTGTCGCGCATGGAAAGAATGTGATGCAAGGGTTCGACTGGAAAAAACGGAAAACGCACAAAGAATACAGGGATGGAAGACGGTGACCCTGAAGCCGGCTGCATCAATGAAACAAAGCCAAGACCATTGAGGCACTGGGCTCTTTGTTCTTCGTCTTGCGCCTCAATGCCCCCTAACTCAGCAAGTCGATGAATCATATTTGATCAAATCAGCCTTTGAACATGCAATGCCGCACGCGCGTGTCGTTTCACGTTATGGACTTCTCGGTTCACTGGGTTCCTCACCATAACATCACAGCGAGCATATTCATATTCGATTCTGCTACTGACCGGCTGACGGCGCCATGTGTGGCACCATTGACAGTAGCTGGAATGCTTCCCTCATGGGAGAATGAAGTCCTCCCGTACATGGCATTCCCGTCTTCATGCCCAACCATTCTTCTCTTCACAAGTTCGCCGCAGCCATCATCCAGATTCCCTGCTTGCACTGCAACGTCTTAGGAGACACTGGTCACATCAACAACCGTCATCCTATGAATGCCTCGTCGTCCCTTCCCACGCGAACACGACGCGTTCATCGATTTCGACCAGGATCACTAGTTGTCGCGGGCCGTCGTGGATGATGAATTGCTCCATCTCCTGGTGTTCATGCGTGTCGACATGTTACACGAAGTTGCACATGGCTACTTTTCGCTGTCAGTCGCCAAAATATCATCACCCCCCCGGCGTCTGGTGTTCCCTGGCACCACTGCGGTTGTCCAAGACCATGAGAGTTCCCGATATGAGTGTATCCATACTAAGGCTGAACGAATCCTTACGGGGGCGGGGATGAAAAAGTCTGACTTATGCGAGCGACACGCCTCCGATGCACGCATACAAGACGGATAAACGCCTGTACCAATTGATGGTTGTAGGCCGTTGGCCGTGAGGGAGTTGACACTTGATTGACTACTTCCGCGCCTATAACCTGAGCCGCTTGCCTTCGATGGACCCGTCGAGTCCATGTCCATGTTTCCCGTCCAGCAAAGGCTCATTGGCGGTGCTGACGCCGATGCAAGCGCACTTGACGCTTTCTGGTGAACTTTGGCGGGAATATTTATGGCGGGCTTCTTTAATTAAATCTATCGTTCCCGAACCCACCAGGGAGGCTCATTCTTTAGTATGTACCGGCCGTGACCAGCCAGATCATAGACTTGGATTGTTGGATACGTCCACTAGGATCATAGACTACGGCTTCACCACGGAGCAACCTGTGAAGAGTGAGAAGCCCCGGCTTCCCCAGTCCCTTGACATTCTGATGCATGATTTAATCTGATTATAAGGCGCTTGGGCGTACTTTATGCACTCTTGCATGCACAACTGGCCGAATGCGTTGTGCGAGGAAATCCTCACGCGCATCAGGCAGGCTATGTGATGAGGTTGCCGAATATGAACGCAATTGACAGCATCAACCTCTGTAAATGGTATAAATATTCTTGAGCGTCCCAGTGAAGCGCGGTAGACGAACGCGGTACTCGACTTTACACAGTGGTCTTGTCCCCCCCCGGTCGCCGCCTCAACAACGTCTTGTCTGTCCTTGGTAGCCTTCTCCTCCATCTAGTACTTGGATCCCAACTCGGTTCTTAGTGGCACATGTTTTTCAACCGCCACTGCGATGAGTGCTGTGGCCCCAAACGCCATGGCACCGTGCCAGACCGCCTTGAGTGTCTCGAGGTACGCATCCAAGATCTGGGACTTGACGGGCTGCAGCAACGCCTGCACAAAGGCCCCGGTTGAAAGCTCGGATGCCCTGCCGCCCCCGAGGGCACATCTCACGGCGGGATCCGATATCTGGTAGGAAACAGCGTCGAACCGGTTTTGAAACGTGATGCTGGGGATCGTGATGTCCCATACGTAGCCAAAGCTCGGCAAGAACGAGTACATGCCGGTGGTGCTGGCAACGTCCTTTTCAGGCAAACTTGCCAGCACCGCGGGCAGAAGAGTTGGGAGGAGAAAGCTGCCCCCTACGGCATCTGCTATCTGAAGCATGGCCCAGACGCCCGCGTGCGTATCCTTGTCCAGAAGAACGTTGAGCCCGGGCCCGAGTGTGCTCAGGACAAAGCCTACGGCGTGTAGGGGGCAGTAGCGGCCAGTTTTGGAGAGAATAATTCCCACGACGGCCGACCCGGGGATAAGCAGAAACATACAAGGCAAGAAGTCGACCTCCGTCTGCCCCAGGCTCGCGCCGCGAACGGCGAGAAAATACACTGGCCAGAAGAATCAGACCCATTGCAGCAACATGGACGAAACAAACACCATGTAAATGGCTGCTCCCGAGGTCCGGTTGGAGAAGACGTGCGGAGGAACGCATTGATTGGCGGCCTTGATGTAGTATTCGTACGCGTGGAAGCCGGCCAGGGCAACCGTGCCCACGACAATGGGAGTCATGGTCCGACACGAAGACCACTCGTACATTGTTCCGCCAAACGTGAGGCCGACGAGAAAGCGTGGTTGCGCCAACAACCATGACGTTGCCGGCCCAGTCCACCTGCGTGAACACGACTGTCCACGGAACCCGCAGAGGCTTGATTCGAAGGGACAAGACCATGACGGGCAGGGCCAAGATGCAAATGAGAAGGTTGATGTAGAAGCACCAGCGCCAGTATCTCTGCACCAGCGCGCCGCCAACCACGGGCCCGACAATGGTTCCCAGTGCCGTGGTAGAAAGCACGATGCCGAGATATTTCCCCCGGTCCCTCGGCGATGCCATGTCGCAGACGACCAACTCGACGAGCAGCGTGATGCCGCCGCTTCCCAAGCCCTAGACAGTCCGGCCAGCAATCATAGTCGTAGCACTGTTAGCGCCGCCCGCGATGCTGCTGCCCAGGGCGAACATGGCATCCAAGTGTAGGAGAGGTTTGCGACGAACAAGGACGAGGTGGTTGGCGATTTTGGAGTTGGAGAGCGCGGCAAGGACCAGACGACATGGTACGACATGACTTACGAGGTGGTCCAATTCCCAGGCGAGCGAGGAGCACGTGCGGCTCCGGACAAGACCAAGTACATGTTGACATTGTAGTCTTGTTGGACTGGAGCGAGCCGATCCCTTTCTACCCCCGGCCGTCATTCATCGTACATATGCCCGTCTCCCACGCTCACAAGAAGGGGACAAGACCGATCCGACCAAGAATAGAATCTGTGTCTGCCTCCCCGGCACACTCAATAAGGCTGTTTACTGAGTTTGTCCTACCCGGCACCGCAATCTCGGAATGAAATGGTCTCCCGACGACGCATACTTTGCCAACGCGATGGGGTTGCAATTCGCAGCGCAATTTTACAGCAGAAATCAGACGACCAATCTATTTATGCCTTTTCAATAGGCAGCAGCACAAGGCTCGAAGACAGTCCGCCCAACAACCAGTCTTTTCAGAAAGCAGTACGAATGCTACGTAGGCTTACTGACCTGTCGTACCGCAAGTCGACATGACAAAGCGTGACGAGGGCTCCCTGGGCTTCTCATGCAACACAAAACGATTGGCACAGAGCTGTTTCGTGCTGTTTGTTTTTCGATCATTGGTGGTTTAAGCGCCGTCATACCACCTGGGCCTGGGTACTCCGGTACCTTCAAGTAATTTTGCCTTGTTGGTTGATTCGCCGTCTTCCGAGTCTCTTCTCAAAGCCACGCGGAACATTACTCGTCTTTTGTGACTGGTCGATATCTGTTGGGGCTCACCATCTTGCCATGACAACCAGGTGGCCTTAGCTGAGGCTGCAAGAGAGGCCGGGTGTTAAGTGAACAACTGCAATTTGCACAGCGGAATTGGGTCATTGATTTGGGCAAAAAGGTCACATTCGTCATGTCTGGTCAGCAGGAATAAGATGAAAGCCCTGAAAACCCGGGAAATTGGCCCTTTTTATACCCGGCTGGAGCCCCTGACAGCCCCTGTGATACGTCCATCGCAGCCCTAACCTCAAACCCTCAAGTCAGTGCTAGAACAAGCGAAGTGTGATGCGGCATACCAGGACGATGATGGAGGCTACCCCTAGTAAGTTAGAACATACAAAGGTAGATTGTCTTACTATCAAGACAAATATACTGCCAGACACCGCTGCACATCGCAGTAGAAAATTGTGCACATGGGGGCACGCACAATAAAGAAAATGTTGAGGAGGCCCTTGGGCAAGTTTCAGACCCCAATGCAGGAGACAGCCTTCAATGCCCCCCTCTCCACTAAACAAGTATCGTCAAGGACAAGCAGATGGTTGTGAGACTTCTAGAAGCGGCGGCAATTCCGACATTGATAGATCGGTTTAGAGACACAACGCCACCCCTCGCGTAATCAAGGGGCTCCAGACACCTGGCTAGTACCTTTGCTGAACCTAGAAGCATAAAGGAGACCTGGCACGATGGAAGAATGAGCAATATAGCAACTGGGGAGCTAGGTAAATTAAAAGCAGACCTCTGCGAGCAACTCGAGGGACTCATTTGGGTCTACAAAGCCGGAAGTAAGGCATTCCAGACGATATTCACCACTCGAAGCTGTATTCAGACGCCTCCAACTGCAAAATTGGTCTTGGAATTTATCTATAGTTCAACGCTTCCCTTGAGTAAGTCGTATATTGTAGGGATCCACATGCCTGCTAACAGTGTATGTTGTCACAGCCACCCCAGCTCAAGTAGCAATTTATTGACTTTTTCGAACCGTTAGAATGGATTCTGTAAAGATTTATTCTGCTTTCTGCACTATAAACTACTATTTGTTCATTTCCTAGACCTCGCCAAAAGGCTTCTTACTGTGGGTTACTTGAACTGGGAGAAGTACGGTCGCATCATGCGGTTTATTAATACGTCCTTCCGATAGCCTAACCGAGGCATGATGTATAGACCAGAAACATTCTCAAGTCCAAACATGCAAGTTGATCCCAGCAATGGAGGCCAAGACTGCTCCGCAGGTCAAGCTTCGCTGTAAGATTCGGAGATAGACGATATGTTCTCGCTGGTAGTATGTTTATCAGCATTTAAATTCCATGCGTACTACGTCGTCCCGACTACCGCAGCTACCAGTTCTTGATGTGGAAATCACCGAAGACGAGAAATGGACCGTATTATATACCGATGAAACTGAAAGCAATGCTGCGACCGTCCTCTGGGATCCTTGCCAGACTATGGCCCAACCGGAGACTGTACACCAGTCCAACCTGTAGCCTACTCGTAGTTTGGACCATTTTTATTGCAAGACTCTGGTAGCAGAAGGCCTCGAGCATTACAATAGAGATCAGGTTCTTGGTCTCTATCTCTAATGTTTACCCGGAAATAAGGAGATCCATCGTAGCCACACAGCAGAGCATATTGCGTCAAGGACTGCCAAATTGGATAAAAAAAACTACTTTTAAAATTAGATGTTGTGCCACACTTGTGCCTGTGGAAGATCCCACCAGGTCCTTATAGTTGTTTTTCTTATCAAAGAGGATCGAAATTTCGCTGAAAATGTATGTCAGGGATTGCCATCACGACTTTCCCAGACAAATAGGATAACACAAACCAACAGAGCGTACGCAACGCGCCGGATGGAAGGGCTCGCAGCTACGCGTTTAACAATTTGCCTCCAACAAATCATGATCCTGTCAAGAATATTTTGTCCTCGTGTGTTGACTTTGTCGACGGAATATTCCAAGTCTCTAAAGGGAGAAATTTCACCATTATAGAGTCTTTTCCTCTGACGAGGAGCTCGAGGAATCGATTGGCAAGGCTTCCAGAACCATATCAACAGACCTCTGCACAGAAATCAGCTATATGGTCAAACTCGACGATATTTTGGACGAGGTAAACATGATTCAGAGGGCTCTGCACAATCAGGGTAGAGCCAGAGGAAAAAGCAACCTTCTCTCAGGCACTGGAGGGGATGACGGCCGAATCACAGATATTTTTACACCGCTCTAGACAACCAGAGCGCATTAGAGGAAGATGCCTGCAGATTGTGAAAGACGGTGAGTTATTCTTTCTCAGAAGAACAACATGAACTTGCAATAATAACATTATGCACCAGCTCACCATCTTGCTGGACTTGCAGTAAAAGGAGGCAAGCCTTGACGAAGCCCAGCCTTCATATCGGCAGTGGCAGATACTCTTCGTTTTGACTATTCCAATAATTGCCTTGTATGTGTCCTCGCATTCTCCCCTATAATTCTTTTACTGGAACATGAGGTCCCTTTATCTTTCGCGGCAACCATGATGACGATCCGCCTTGAGGGTTCTCCAGCCACCTTTAGAGCTGTCTAGATAGCTGCATCACTTGTTTTCAATATGCCAAAAAAAGGGATGCTATATAATATAGAAGGGAAGGGATGCTTGATAACTAGTGCCTGGAATATATATATAACTTCCTGCAAATTACTTGATCGTGGATAACGGATAGTATACTTGTAGCGCACGACTTATGCCTTGATCCTCGTCTCTAGATTGATCCGTATTATGCAAGAGTATACAAGAAGATGATTTATTTCAACTAATCTATTACCCTATTCGCTATTTATTGGTGTGGTCTTTGGTGCATAACCATTGTCGTATCGCGAGGGTGCGGACCGAAGGCGAACATTGAAACTAGGCGGAAAACTTGCGTCTGGTAGTCTTATATCAAGACAAAATCAGCTCGAGACCTTCCCAGAGCGTTGACTGCTCAGACCCGACTAGTCAACTGGGAACAAGATCTGGTCCGGATTTGGCTGGTGGGCCGCAAGGCATTGTTCCTTGGTCCAGATATAGGGCGACATGGAGACTTTATATCGGCCTTTTGTCTCAAACAAATTGCAATACTTCTCGGTGCCGCAAGCGACCTCGCTCTCATCTCCACGGCTTCCGCAAAAGTTATGCTCTTCAGGCTGCTTCCAGGGCAGGTTCCTAGGCTCAGGGACGTGGGCGTCTAGGCACTCCCTGGTGCTACTCCAGCGGATATCCTCATGCAGTCTTCCGTCTTCGCTGCCCAATTTATCAATCGCCTCGCAGTACTTCTTGGTGCCGCACGACATCACCCTCATGCCTCTGATGTCGCAGCCACGGCCGCCACTGAGGCCAAAGTTAAAAGGGAGCTTCTGCCCGGAGGGGGAATGGGGCAGGCAGGAGCCCATGGTGGCAGCAGCAAGGAGGATAGCGTACTTCATGGTGCTAAAAGGCTGGATCGTAGGGTCAATTGAAAGAGTCTGGTGGTGTAAGAAAATGCGGCCAAGAGCGAAGTCTGGACTGTCGAAGCTAGTGATGAGATGCTCACCAAGTTGAAACGGCCACGCCCAATTTATGTAAACAGAAGCTCGCTATTGCCACGTTTCGCCGTATGCAAGAGGCCAGAGATTCGTAATAATCCTCGTGACTCGTACCAGCTTCGCTCTCCAACGGCTAGAAACTGCTTCTTACTGCAGTAAGTCTTGGACATGCCTACAGCAATCTATAATGCGATATCAGCTAACATTGTGGGTAGCTGGATTCCACAGTGGACTTGGCGCAACGTCTCTGACCAATTGACTTTAAATAAGATCATTGGTTGATTCTATCTCTACCAGGTATTAGATTTTTGTATTCAGGATAAGTCATGTCGCATTAAGTTATCCTTATTACCTATATAATTTTTTATGCTGAATACCCCCTATTCCCGTTGTCGCTGGTATATCGAGTCATGTAGATTATATATTCGAGTCATACTTATTAAGCCAAGTTATATACCCTACTTACCGCATTAACTTAATATAATTGCATAGCCTTAATACTAGTTTTATGGGCCTTCTCGGGGAATAAATTGCATTATTTCTTGCCAACATACGTAAGCTGCCAAGGTCGTCCCCCTATTTTGACCAATGTTTTGCAGATTCCCACGAAGAATGAATACGACCTATCATTATGACCCATGGCGGTGAAACGTTACAGCGGAATACACGTAAAAGGAGTGCGTGAATTTTGTAAGCTAGAGATACCAGCAAGGCTCGCTGTTCATAGAAGACGCAGGCTAGACCTTGCACGTGATGCTATTTCACGTTGAATACATGATACGTGTGCTATATAGCACCCTAATGTATATACGCGCATATAACGCCATAGCACGTCAAGTACAATATCACTTCAATGTTGTTAAAACAATTATATCATCGCTAAGTTGTTGTTCCCTTTCTTTGAACCCTAAAAATCAGTCTCTATTGCTACGCGAGCGGTAAAGTTATAAAAGACCTCAATTCCACAGTATTCTTCACGCACTTCTATCATAGCATCCTTTTTGTCAGGATAACATCGTAAACAGGCCAAGGCTACATTTTCCGCATCGGGGTCATAGTCCCATTTCCCTTGCTTAAAGACAGGTTAAATGGGTTGAAAGTTAGTCAGGAAGTTAGGTCTCTGCCATGGCTGGGAGCGGTACTCGGTCCAGGACGACCTCATGCGCCCGACTTGTTGGTCTGTAAGGTTTGCAAGAAATCACTTCATGCGAGGCCAATATAAGTCTTCAAGACTTCGAAATTTGCTGTCGGCTCCGAGTTTGAGAGTGTGTGGGCAAACCTACTCCAGGGTTGTGGCCAAGCACTGGGCTGACTATGGCTCCAAGTGCAGCGGTAGAAAGCATAGACAATTCCGAGACATTTCCTCCGGTCACTCTGCGACACTGTGTCACCCAGCTTAAGGACCTTTTATATGTGCGGCAACGCGATAGCCATGGCCCATGATAGATCCGTGTAGCCATGCCGTGAAGCCAATAAGGTGTAAAAATAATAATAACCAGCTAAAAGTATTTATATATACAATTTAAGTAACTTATTTTGGCTGAATTATTGCCGTTTCTATAATAGGCGTTAGAGTTTCCTTTCCATGGCATCTAAGGTGTAGGAGTTGGATGTAGCTTGCCAGAGGTTTGCGACGAACAAAGACGAGACAGTTCGCGATTTGGGCGTTTGAGAGCGCGGCAAGTACGACATACCCTCCTATATAAATCAATCTAGCAACCTGTCCGTCGTGGCTCCGGAAAATGCAAAATGCACCAGACTGTAGTCCGGTTGGACTGGAATGAGCCGGTTCCCCTTCTACGACCAGACGCTCAAAAGAAGGGCGACCCGACCAAGAATAATATCAGTGTCTGCATCTCCGCATGCAGAGCGACTGCGCAGTTCTATTAAAAGGAGGAAAGGTGGTCTCGATAAGGCTGTTTACTTTTAAACAAGCTTGTAGTTAAAAGGATTGTTTTTTTCGGCCGTCCGAAGTAGCAATCTTGGATTAACACGGTGTCCCGACGACGCATCATTTGCCAAAGCGATGGGTTGCAATTCCTCGCAGCTTAATTTTCCACTTAAAACCAGCCAGTTGATCTGTTTATGCAATTTGAACAGGCGGCAGCACCACAAGGCTCGAAGACAGTCCGCCCAACAAGAAGTTTTCAGGCAGGCAGTAAGAATGCTACGCAGTGTTATGCAATGGCCGCTGCCGCCTGGTCCACACACCCAAAATTCATATGACCTGTCGTTCTGGTCGTATTGCATGTCGACATGATAAAACGTGACTAGGACTACTTATGCTTCGCTTGCCGTACGTACACGAGATAGTAGTCTCAGCTGACGCTACCTGATTGTTAGGGCAAAATGGTGAGCCATGACAGAAATCGATCAATCAGAAACGACGAGTAATTTTGCGTGTTCAATGTTGCTCCGTGAGGACTTGGGCATGAACTAATCACGGCTGCGAACCCCATAATTCGCACAACCCAAGAGACGGGCAGATGACGAATCACCCTGTGAGGAAAAATTACATCAAGATCCCAGGCCCAGGTACTGTAACCGCGCTTGAAATACCGAGGATGAAAAGACCAACAAACAGCCCGAGACAGCTCTGTGCCAATTGTTCTGTGCTGCATGACAGGTCCCTGTGGCCGAGGACATCCAACGCGAAGGGAAGAGGCAGAAGCTAAACCAGGGAAAGATGGCTGCTCGTACGGCCTTGGTGTATGTACTATTTTAGTTGCTCAAAATGCTGCAGGTACCAGTATGATGCAAGAAGGGTGAGTCTGCTAGCTATATTTGCTGCAAAAGGCTTTCCTAATATTTATAGATACCTGTACGAAAATGAGGGGATCCTCAGCCACTACCACGATTATTTTGAAAGTTCCAAGCTGAGAGTAAGTCGACAATCAAAACAGAATTACCAATGGTCCAAATATCAAGGAGCCGAGTGACTTCTATTTGCGACCTATAGTTGGGTGCTCCCAGCCCAAACCCATGCTATTAGAGTTATATATATCTATACCACCTTCAATACAAGCCTTCCTATTGGCTTATATGCTAAATTACGCAAATATTTAGGCAAATATATAGACTGTCGGGAGTAGCATAATATGATATGGAATAATTCTCAGACCCCTTTCCTGGTTCTTAGTAAGAGGCCAAAAGAAGTAAACCCGAGATATATTAGTGCAGTGACGCGAAATTGATCAGAGGAGGCGGACATGTAGCAGTGTGATTATTATTTGCATGCCGGGGGCTGGAAGCTATAGACCTCGCGGAGGCAGACCTTGAAGTTTTTTAGGGCTGTACCATTAATGGCTTCTAATGGTTTGCGATGCTAGTATCAAAATTCCTATAGAGCTACACATGAGTTGACAACATCGTTCAAGCCAACGTGAATTCGCCTTCATCACCTGTGACAAGGGCTATTATTATAGGGCTTAGAACAATGTTCGATATTCAGCTAGTAATTCGCTTTAATATTAAAGGTCCTTAGTTTTTCTTAAGGCCTTAAAGGGCAGATAACCCTTATTTATATTAAGAGGCGGATAAAGGGCTGTCCTAGGTGCCTAAGGCTTCTGTTAGGTCTTAAGCCCTTGTGTAACTATCATCATGTTTAAGGTACGGCCCGTGCCTTCACGGCAACGTGACATCCGTGTAACATCACCATATTCGTTGTCCTTGGGCATTCCTCGACTTAGAAGAGAACTTATGACGCCTTTTGTTCCATGTCCGTGCATGGCTCTCCTTTCGACTACATTGTGAACGATCTACGTGAATGACTGGCCAGAGTGCGCCTTTTGTGTGTTCAAGTAGCCCAAACTGCACCCTCATTTAATTCAAGAACATATTGCTTACCCCCGTAACATGGCCGACACCTGTAGCATCGCACCGCTTTGGAAACAGCTTCGTTCTCAATGGAGGTATTCTAGCTAACTGAGAGAGAATGGTATTTAGTTCCAAAAAGACAGAGAAGCACTGGCAAACGCGATTACCAACCTCAACTGTATTAAGAGTGCAGTGGACGTCTTTACCCTGCTTGGATCAAACCTAGACAGATCTTCGTGATGATGTCGACGATCAAGAACTGTGCTGTCTGGCCAATATCGCACAGCCCCTGACCATCACTAGCCAAGCGCTACCGCATCAAATGTAGCCAGTGCAGCGGCGGCTGTTTCTTACGTGAAACAAGGCTATCCTTACTCGGTGCTGCGCCCATGATCCCCACGCCCTTCGAAGTTCCGAGGTGCAAATATAGCGTCGCCTGTCGCTGAGAAGGTGGCTTTCATCAGCTACATATATGTGGGTGCCATTGATACTAAAATAAACGTCAATACAACTATAGTTAGGACACCGCCGCTTTTTTCCTCAGAGTCGCTATTCAAAGGGCGTTGGGTTACATTAGCCTCGCCCCGTGCTGCGGAAAACTGCCCACCTGTAATACCGCCCCCAGCTACCAGGCATGTAAGCGGTATGAAGGCAACAATGCTGGTGCCGCAAGCTACAGGATGTCATTCGAAGTAAAGATACTCACTAGATACATAAGTATGTTGCAGTTGGCTGTCTCACTGGATTCACGCCGTCATCTTACTAGGGACGTGACGATTAGTAACAGCCGCGGCTCTCCCGCCAACAACAGTTTTATCACAAATGCTCCAACGTCTATTGTCTTTAGCCTTTTTATCCTTTCCATCCATTAAAACGTACTGTTGTCCGTCATCGTCGCCGTGGCAGAACCAATGGACACTGATATGCTGCCTCTCGATCTGCAATATCCCATTGAAACGCCACCTCCAGGGATAGCGCCCAACTTCGTCAATCCCGACTCCAATGCCTACCAAGTTTACATCACTGCAGGAGTATGCATCCCATTGATGCTAATCTTTGCGTTTACTAGATTTGTTTCGATAGGATACGCTCACAGGAAGGTTACCATGGCCGACGAAAATCAGTTTACTTGAATTCTTCTTCCGATCAGCGCCTCGTTCTTCTGCGACAACTAATCAGAAGGTTTCAAGTCGTCTTTATTACGGGATTGGTTCGTTTATCGCATTCGTACTTGCCCACTATGATTGCTGACTCGGTCCAGATGCTCTGCCTCGCCTTTACCATTATAACCATAAGTTGTATGACCAACTTTTTTGTCAGGTCAACGATTGCGTAATGCCTCTAATTGCTTTATAGGCGTTTCCGGAAGTGTATTTGGGGAAGAAGCATGGAACGTTCTTCTAAGCTCCTTTACAAAACCACAGCTCGTCGTAAGCCTTTGTTCACAAGTTGATTGAATCTCTCTGCGACAACGCGAATGGCTCACCACCAACCAAGCTTTGTCTCCTCGTTGAAATACTCCGCCCGCTAGCTCTTTGCTTTGTCAAAATCTCCGTCTTTATTCTTTACCTTCAGCTTTTCAGCGTTCTACAATGGATGCGTATCGTCTCTATCACCGGTATTGTCGTCATCTCGCTTTGGCACCTGTCCACATGCATTGCCTTTGCCGTCATGTGCTCACCTACGGGCTCTTCACACCTCGATTTTCTTGCCGCCTTCTTCTCATCCAAGTGTTCGCGGACACGGAGCCTTGTTGTCATCCAGGGTATCGGCAATGTTGTAACCGACGTATTTCTGCTTGTCCTCCCACTCCCGGTCGTCTGGACGCTGCGTATACCTCTGGGACGCAAGCTTGGGGTCTCATGCATGTTTTTAGTTGGCCTCTCGTAAGCCACATGACACACCGTTGTGCTGTTGGAGAGCGTTCAATGTTTGTCTAACAAGGCATAGCGCTTGTGCTTCCAGCGCCATGGGACTCTACTACCGAGCACTGTATTACGACGCTGGCCAAAACAACATCAGACTAGTTGTCACTGTATGGGCAACAGCGTATGTGCCCCTTCCAAAGTTCACCTAACATGTTATTTGAATACTAACAGGTTTGAATGCCAGCATAGCGGAAGTGGCAGCCGGCGTCATGATCTGTTGCATGCCACCCACGGCCGCACTGTTGAAATGCTTGAAACAGTCGATAAACTCGTCGGTAGGCAAGTCGGCAGTGCTACTTCCTGTCTCTCTCCAACCCAGAATTCCTGTCTCCGGAAATGCTCCTCATTTATGTGACAAGATGAGCATTCACAATCCTATCACCTGCCCCCCAGCGCTCGCAAGCGATACACGGCTTGGGTTGATACCGAAGTCGACACATTATCTCTGCGGGAGATGAACCTGAGCAACGGCAGCGTCCGAAAGAAAACCAAGGTCAAGATGTAACACTAGCTGTGGTAAACTTGGCGACGGGAAACAAGATATTTTTATATTTCGCATGGCCGAATACACGACATAGAAGTGATGGTTGGTGTGGGAGCGACAAACGAGTGGCACAATGTAAGGTACCTAACAAGCTTGGAACAACCCGAGTTTAATGTATTACTCCGTCTTTCGTTTGAATATACTTACTCGCTGTGTTACCATCGATGCAGACGCAGCATTTTCGTTTCCAAATACACAAAGTCGATGGTCGGCAATCCGAGGCTCTAGTCGTCGCCTCGCCTGACTCCGCAAACGGTCAATGTCGTCTTGGGGTGGTTATGCAGCAACGCAGTGCAATTTGACGTCAAGTATCACAAAACCTTTGCCTCGTCACAAGGCAGCACAGCCGAGCAGCAGTCCCCCCTCGCAAGCAGCGACTCAACCTGACACGTTATAATGACGCAGCCTCGTCAAGACGGATGGAACGATCGGCTGCACTTGGCCCCCTTTCTCCTCATCTCTGCCCCCAACCCAACTTCCCTCTGTCGTGGAACAGTATCAACGTTTTGCAGCGCAGCATTTGCGTCTTAGAGACACCAGGCGCTTACGCCTTCGAGGTCAGATTGAAAACCGGCTGGCTTTAGCACACCAAACCACGTCATTCACACGGACCAACGCATTTTCCCAACCCTTCGAATTTTGGTCTCATGTTTCCGCTCTCTGCGGGCCCCTCGCGAAGCCCGTCATCCGCGCACACATCGACCTCATGTCCTTCGCTGTTGTTGATCCGGCAACTCTGCTTCTCTTGACCACTGTTGTCACTCTGGCCTGCTTCTCTATTCTCAACATGTTCAGCAGCCATGATCCTCGCGAGCCGCCGCTGGCGCCTCAGCGGATTCCCTTGATTGGCCACATGGTTGGACTTGCACGCAGTAAGTTTAATTACTATGTTCAAATCGGGTAATTTATCCCTCACGATATCCTCTAGCATGCATTGGAGACTTGGGGAAATATTCTTACTTTGCATCAGTCAGCAGATGGATTCTCCCATCTATACATTGACCCTCCCGGGCCAGAAGATGTACGTGGTTACCCAGCCTGAACTCATTCAGAAGGTGCAGAAACAGTATAAAACGCTGGCATTCCCGCCCATCGAGGCCAAGTTTGCATCCACTGTGTGCGGAGCCAGCCTCGAAGCCCAGGCCATCTTGGCCAAGAACGTCAATGGCGACGAGGGCGACTTTGGTCTCTCCATGGATTCTTACGCAGCCATGAGAGCTGCCTTGAAGCCCGGCTCGTTGCTCGACGATATGAACCGCGTCATGGTTCAGGAAATTTCAAAATCGCTGGATTTACTGCAGCCGCCCGAGGGGGAATCCCGGCGGATTGGTATGAACGCCTGGCTCAAGGATACCATTACCACGGCTACGACTAGATCTGTGTATGGTCCCATGAACCCGTACGACGACAAGGCCGTTGCCGATGCTTTCTGGTGAGTAGACTTGATTCGGGCCAATAGTCACCCTTGTCCGATTGACATTTATCTACGCTGTAGGGAATTTGAGAGCGGACTCATGTCCATACTTGTTGGCGTCCTTCCTTCCATTACTGCACGAAAGCCAATCGCGGCTCGAACCAAGGTCGCCAAGGCCTTCGAAGCATACTACAAGGCTGGGGGAGTTCAAAAGGCCTCGGCTCTTGCGCAGAAACGCTATCAGGCCGAGGTCAATAATAAAGTTCCACTGGAAGATATTGCCCGTTACGAGGTGGGAGGCTCAATTGCCGTCTTGGTCAACACAGCACCAGCAGCTTTCTGGACTCTCCTTCTGTTGCACTCCCATCCAGGTCTCCTCAGCGATATCCGGGAGGAGATTGACGCCTGCACCGAAACAACAATCGAGAACGGTCGCACCGTCAAAACTGTGGATATTACCAAGCTCAAGGAGAGTTGCCCCTTGCTGTTGTCCTCGTACCAAGAAGTGCTTCGCTACAGCTCAATGGGAACCTCGGTACGCGAGGTCATGGAAGACACATATCTCGACAACTGGTTGCTGAAGAAAGGCGCCATGTTGCAGATGCCCAGCCGCATCATCCACCAGGATGCCCGACTCTGGGGGCCCCATGTTTCCGACTTCAACCCACGCCGGTTCCTTTCCGAAGAGAGACAAAACCGTCCGCGCGACGTCTGCTTCCGCGCGTTTGGCGGCGGCAAGACCCTCTGTCCCGGCCGACACTTTGCGACGAATGAGGTGCTGGCCACCGTGGCAACCCTTATCGCAAGACTGGACGTGAAGCCCGTAGGTGGAGAATGGAAGCATCCCACGACGGCAAACACCAATGTTGCTGCCGTGGTCATGGAGCCAGATGATGATATCGAGGTAGAAGTCAAAACCCGTGAGGGCTTTGCGCATGTCAAATGGGTCATTACTCTTGAAAAATCTGAAAAGATTTTTGCCATTGTAACAGAGGATACTATCAAGACAGAAGACACGTAGCTTCTTCTCAATTGTCGGGGGGACAAGAGCGGCAAAGCCTGGCCGTGTTGTCGGCGGGAGTCGCCGTGGCGACGAGTAATAACCGCGGTATAGCAAGGAATGAATCGATATATGTAGCCTGGCAGCAAAACTTGGCCAGACATCTGTCCCGCAACACACGAGTTCCATCAATGTCCCCCATTGAGTTGACCCAACATAAATACTACCGTCCCCACACGGGCGGCCCCCGACGCGCGCTGCTCTTCTCAGTCCTCTCCCTTTTTCACCATGGTTTGGTTCAATGTCAACTGTTTCGCCTAGTTCCATTTACGAACTCGCAGCTTATAACCAGACGCTTTCACCTGGCCTTGTTGTCCCTGTTGGAGAGGAGTTGCAAACATGTCACCAAGTTTACAGACCTGCCCGCTCCCGGTTATTGAACACATCGTTGAGCTGCTAGACTTGGCTGACATTCGCAATCTACGACTTAGCTGCGCAACTCTGGCTACGAAAGCCTGTGGCAGGTTTTTTGAGTCCTTGTATGTCGATCTAACAACGGATTCTCTCCTCGCCTTTGCGGAAGCAACGCGGACAGAAAGTCCCTTGTCCAAGGTGAACACATTGCATCTGGTCGGTACCATTCGTGAGCTTGACGATAGCACGGTTCACTCGTGGGAAAGAAAATTCAGCTGCAGTGCTCAAACCGAAGACCAAGTTCAGCTGCTCAGTCAAGCATTCGATAGACTCGGGAAATACAACAAAGACGGCATTCTGCCGTCGCTTTCACTACGAGTCTCAATTCTAAGGACAAACAACAAAAGGGACCTGCCGCGCAGTACTGTCCGAGGATATACGGTAGAGAGCTTATGGCAATGTACTGTCAATACCTTCAATATGGCTATGCGAGCATTGACTGCAAGCAAATTACGAGTTGCGAAACTGAACATTTTCAATGGTCGGGACATGCAGAACTGCAGTCTGTCTTGCGATCAATTAAACATGTTCGACTGGACAGAGGCCGGCGTCCTTGACTCATTGTCGCCTGTTACGACACTGTCAATTAGTCTCATGGATAGAGTATTTGCGTTGAATGAAGATGAAGAGATAGATGAAGATTTCGGCGATATTGGTTCGGAAGACGAAGCCGACTGGCAACCAACACGGAGGGACGAAGAGATCATGACAGCGTCTCACCAAGAGAGCAATTTCAGCGGCCTGGCCAATTTGATTGCTATTTGTCCCCATCTAGATGACTTTGAGCTACATTATCTATCCATTATGTGGCCAAAGAGGCGCCTATTTAATAACTTCCCACGTCAAGACATACTTCGGCATGTGGCTGAGCTGGATAATCCGCCCATGTTGAAGCGATGCAGAATACGGGGAGTTAGTGTAAGAGAGGCAGACATGCTGAACTTGATTGATCGCACAAAGGTAGCCGAGATATTTATCGAGGTAATACGTATGGAAGAGGGAACTCTTCGACCTGTCATTGATTACTGCATTAGTAAGTTGGCGGCTGTTACCAAGCTTCACATTGACACCGTGCTTGAGAAGAGCGGCCAAGGGTATACTGGATTAGTTCACTTCCTTGACGAGGGAGAGTCTAGAAAATATGGGGGCAAGTTCGAGGTCGGGACGGAAATCCTGAATCGTGAAGGCGATAACAGGACAAAGCCTGTCAAATACTACGTCCGCCGCCCAGTTGCAGAGGGGAACCCTGCTGTATGTCACTGGATTGCGCTTCGGCGACAAGAGTATGGATAATCACATGTTATTTTGAACAAACATATATCAGCAGGGTTAAAAAGCAATATCGCAGATTTAATTTTGCTATTGGATGTGCAGATAGCCAACTGCACACAAGCCTACTCCGCATTTTGTCCCAAAAGACTGCCGTGTTGCTACATCTCTGGTAGAAAAGACGCCTATCCGGTTTACCCTTGCCGTCACTGTCTTTGTTATACTCGAATAGCGCGGTGCCACGCCATCCTTTATACCTGCGGTCGTCAAGACGGTAATCGTAGTTGTAGGTGCTGATAGATATGCCAGGTATAAGTCTTCGCAGTGTATTTACCCTAGCAAGCCCAAGTAATAGGGTATTAGATGTTATCTGCTTTGCCAAGCCAAGGCCATCCCAACCCTAACCCCCACCTCGCCACCTAACAAACCGCCCAATACAACAAAGCCAGCGTGTGTCTGGTCTGGTAAGATTTCCTTTGCCCTCTAGTGCCGTGCCTAGGCTGCTAAACTCAAAACACTAGATTTATTCGAGCGCTGGCGGCGCTGAATAGTGTGTGGGCGACCCTGGATGATGATGATGATGATGATGAGGCATTGGAGGTTCTGGATAATGCAGCAAAGGCCCTGGCTCGTAAGGTGGTGGTGGCAGTTCTGTGCCTCGTAACGGCGTTGTTTCTGTGAGCGGCGCGACGTGTGATGCCACCGGTGACTCGTTCTGTCTCGCTACTAGAAAACCGATAAAAAGCATCACCACCATCAACCAAAAGAGAGCAACTGGTTCCCATGGTGGGTTTGGAGGATCTATCAGGGGCGGCCGCCAGCCCGGATCTGGCCCATCACTGTTTGAGTATAGTGGTTCTGCAGTAACTGCTAAAGGCATTGTCAATATCTGTCAATGTTAGGTGAAAATAATGTTGAAGGGAAGAAAAAAAGCGGTCGAGCAACTAAGAACCCAAACATGGTAATAGACAAGCCGGCTTTTGTGGCCCCCACAATACTCTAAGACATGCATAATCCTGTATGTAGGCACAACCGAATACGTGGATATATTTACACGTCTGTTCACAACGCCTGGCGCCGTATGCAATTTAGAACACAAGCTGTTCAGGGATCCATCCGCGGAGAAAACAGGCCCTGGCAATTTCTGAGGATTGGTTAACACTTGACAGGTATATCCACCTGGTAATGTAGCATCGCATCCTCCCCCGTTTTCGTCAAGCTGCAGATACACTTACGTGCTTGTATTCCCACCTGCAATCCTACACACCTGCTGGGGATCCCGCCCACAAAATGTATCAAAACGTTTTTTATTCTGATCCTACACACCAGTCTCAAGGGCGTCATACGGGGGACAAAGACTTGATTGGACTCTGTCTTCATCCGAAAGAGCGAGGGCGTTGTCTCCCGCACCGGTGCTAACGGGAACTGCATGCAGCTCGAAAGCCCCCTGGCGCTCGTCGAGCACCACGGCCGTGGATTTGGGCCCAAGTCGGGCTCCTGGGTCAATCGCAGTTTGTTGGTCTTAGATGGGTCAAAGAAGACGAGACGGAGAAGCATCTTGGCCAGCATGGACGGGTCAATAGACGAAGGGTTGTCGGTGTCGAGGAATTGAAGCCTGCGACCCAAACGCTCAGCCCGCAACGTGCTCGATAGTCCAAAAATGATGTTGACATCGGGATCCAAGCCTTCCTTGGCTCCCGAGGTCACCCATAGAACCACTTCTGCTGTCTCCATGACGTTCTGCAATCCCCTGAATCTCCCCGGGTGCATGTCGCGGAACACGGGGTTATCCAGATCCCCAAGGCAGAGCACAGTTGCTCCTTTGCATAGTTGGATGTCGTCGACATTGAGCATCTTGGAGGCGAGTTTGCTGCCGTGCTGACTGAACACGGTGCGGGCGTTTTCGAAGAAGCCGGTAGATATGTCCGTATATGTGTAGGACGCGTATCGGTTCCCCAGCGCCTCTAGGACTGCATCTGCATTGCCGCCAGAACCAGCTCCCACCTCGACGATCAGTGTTCGCGGATGTTGGTGCGCAAGTTGTTTTATCATAACAGCAAGGGCAACGTTGCCATGAGGCAGAAGCATAAGGATTACTGTTGCCACTTACTACTCTTATAGCAAGAAGTTTATCGACGTGTGTTATCCGATAAAAAATATATAGGCTTAACGTCCAAAACGGAATATCTATAGATACGGCGCTTAACCGAGCAGTTATCAAAAAACATATAGCCTACTTGAGTCCGCGCAAATTTAAGACGGCGGTTGTACGTTAAATGGCCTACGTTACAATTGCCTACCATGTAGTAGAACTTGCACATTCCTTGATATTCTGCAGCTAACATATGCCGATATTGAAGTATTTGGCTGTTTAACAACTGCTAACATAGTTTATATATATTCTTTGACATCTCAGCTTCTATAGTTGCCGCTGCCGAAAGGCAGTATAGTAGACAGCAGATAGTTAACAGGCATAGAACGACCCCCAAATTTAAGCATTGCGTTTATTGACAAGGACCGTTTCCTTCTTCTGTGAGGACAACATCTCCACTAAATCATGCCTGCTACCCTATCCGGATTAGATGATAGAGTCCGGATGCTTGTCCACCTCGTCCAGCAACTCCTGAACCGACCGGAACCGAACATCTTTGAAGTACGTTCCTCGCTGCTTGTGGACAATAGCCGGATCAAAACCACCATTGCTACTCAGAGTGATGATGCCGTACTCGGCTTCAATGCGTTCCTCCTGCGTCTTTGCCTCACGTACAGCATTAACAAGCTGGTTGAGGCTGATGTGTTTAGTCGTAAACTCGAGGGTTGCATATTTTGCTTGTACTTGCTGTGACATGCGTCCCAGAGTAGTTTTCTCGCCAGAGACATAAGTGTATCGCTCCCAGCTTCCCGCCGGAGCTTTCGTCAATGCAACAAGCGCCTTGCAGAGATCTCGTGCGGAGGTGACGTCGAGCAGCTCTTTACCAGTTCCAGGAATAACGATTCGCTTGCTTGACAAGTTGAATGGAGCCGAGTCACCGATATCCTTGATGTAGCGGTTCTTTACCGGCAGCACGTAATCGGCCAACCAACCACAGCATACCAATGTCCACTCCAAGACGTTTTGTTCGCGTAGTGCCTGGCGTACCGGCTCGTGATTGGCATACTCGAATCCTGGTTGGTCTGGATAATCTGCGGTGTCTGTTCCGTACTCGGCTGGGATGAAGCGTCGGCAAGTCGAAGTCTGACGGCAAGCTGCTATCAGGTTCATGTGGCTTTCCGTATAAGCCATGGTGTAGTCGAGAATCACTGAGATCAAGGCCACAGAACCATCCAGGGCACTCTTCAAGGAATCAACAGACTTGAAGTCTACTTCTTTCTGAGTGACTCCCGGAAGCTCAAAATGGCTTTTCTTTGTACGACAAAGGATGACCACGGCTTGACCTGCTCGGCGAAGCTCCTCCACGAGGTAACGGGCAAGATCGCCTGAGCCAGCAATGGCAATGCTCATGATGTTTGGCTGAAAAGTGTAGGCTTGTAAGACAAGAAAGGGAAGAACAGTGGACGCGGGCTGTATGAGGCTCTATTCTATGGATGGACGTATTGGGCTTTATATACTCCAGGAGCTACTTCCAGCAGGCGTAGAACCTGTTCGGTACGAATGCTTGTAATCCATGGATAAAGAGGTGCATTTACCTGCAGAGGCAACGGCAGGCCATTAGCTTTGGCCCGAGTATGCTGGATGCAGCAGAAGGAAGTGAAAGCCAGAATTACTAATCTGATATCCAATGTGTCATCCTCGAGCGGAGATCGGCTCCGCGGGTTTTTCGGGCCCCTTACTCCGCTCCGTTACAGAATCCACCAACCCGTCGACTAGCTTCCGGATTTGCGTGACAGATCCCAAGGGTCCGTTTTGGGATTGAAGTTCCGCCTCCGAACCCGCGGTCATTACCTCCAGTTATAGTGGTCTGTTTGCCTGGCTGCTCAAGGAGTGGCACTGCACAATAATGGATTTTTTGGAGTCATGGTGCGCAAGTTTTGTCTGCAATGGTTTTTTATCCTGCTTCACGTCTTGATCCATTCAGCTCAATCAATACGATCAAATATGTCGTTGAATAATGGACGGGTTTTAGACTTTAGCTGAACCGTCCAGCAGCTATCAAGCTTAGCCCCTATAGTCAAGCCTAACTTGCACTCAGAAATGCTCGGGCGCAATCTGTGGTCTACAGGAGTGGCGTCTGGTCCGCTGGGCAAGTCCCTATTCTTCGCTTGCTGGACTACTGAAGCGTGCAACAACACCAGTTCTGCACACTATTTCGGCCGTATAGGTACTATAAGTTTCATTCAGATCCAAGGGGCACCTTGGGAGAGGGCCCTCGACTTTGATTATAAATCCATTATTACTGAACTCCGCAAAACTGGATCATTGAACTCCGACGAGGATAGCATCGACGCGTCTAGAACTCGAACGATTGGAATCCCCGTCGATCAATCTTCGATCATAAATATCTTGCTACTTCATATTACTTTTACTCTGCTCTAAGCGAGACAGGAAATAGTAACATATTCGCACGGCGTAATTGTGCCACCCAGGTAACCACCATGAAAGTCGCTATTGTTGCCGTTGGCGATCTCGCTAGGTACTTTGTTGAAGAACTTCAAAAGCGCGGACATGAAGTGCTAGCTGTTTCGCGAAGTCGCAAGACGTATCTCGACGATCTTGAAATTTCCCAACATATCACCGACTACAGTGAAACGGATCTCACAGCCGCGCTGGCCGATTGCGACGCAGTTGTGTGTACGCTGAGAGTCGGAGTGCCTGACTATGTGGCAATCCACCTGGCCATCTTGCGGGCTTGTCAACATTCTGCCACATGCAAACGCTTAATTCCAGCCACATGGGCCGGCAACCTCGAGGATTTCCCTGACGAACCGTTAGGCGTGGCCGATGAGATTCGTCTTGTTCTCAGCGCACTTAGAAGTCAACAGGACGTGAGTTGGTCATCGATCAGTCCCGGCTGGTACGTCGACTACATCGTACCAGAGAAACAGCGTTTCATGAGCAGCCTAGGCGACATGTGGCCGCAGAATTACGACAGAAAAACTTTTACTATTTACGGCGATGGAACCCAACTAGTCAACTTTACTTCCGCCAGAGACACAGCTCGCGCTACTGTCCGACTTATCGAGCATAACAGGAAAGACTGGGAGGAGTTTACCTTTATTTCAGGCGCGCAAATGACTTGGATGGAGTTGGGCCGGTTCATTCAAAGCCGAGACCCAGAGTATGCATTTCAGAATAAGTCTCTCTCTCAGACTATCAAGCAATACATAGCACAGGAGAGCCTGGAAAGCTATGGAGCTGCCATTCTGGAGCTTTGGGGGCACGGCGCAGGTGTTCGATTTCCCTGGAGCAAGGTCGAGCGCCACCGCGCAAAGTTTTTCCCCGACTTGAAGTTCCGAAGCGTGCAAGAGCTAGCTGATGAAGCGGCATCGGAGCCCAATAAAGTAGTGTAGTAAACAAATTCTATTAAAAATAAGAAGCAAATTATGAAGTTTCCATGTCGGAGTTACGATGAAATTAGTAGCAATGTCGTTGATGAGTACTTAGTCAAGAGTAAATCAATCATTCCAGGCAACGGCACTTGTTATACTGCTGCCTGCAGGCAGCAGCATGTGTATTCAACGTTGGCAAAAGCCGCTGCGGCATTTACATGTCTAACAAAGAGATGTATCAGGCTCTGGGTCGTATGCGCAGGTCCCCTGGCTAACGCAATCATCTTCCTCCTTAGCGCACCGTAGAAATAACGACTTGAACTTCCATCCATCAGTCCAGACACCGCGACACTGGCCCCGTTTAGTATACCCATACCCAAACCACTTGCCAACGCAGTTTGGTTGCTCCCAGTAGCTAATCTGAACCTGGCCATCTGGGCAGTATCCCTCGGCCGCGATCTCAAGGGATCCAACAGAACATCCAGTATTTATACACATGCCACCCCTGACTGAAACGTCATTATAAACGTCGCCTGTGCAATCAATATGGTATCGTGTCTTAATACGGAATGCTGGAAGCGTGCCTATACAGGCATATGTATTGGCCCATAGACTGGTACATTGCTTGCCAGCCCCGGGATTCCAATTAATGAGGTCAGAGACTGAGATGCCGCTATTAGAGGCAATACTGCCACACGAGTCTCCCGATTTAAGGTAATAGAACTTATTACAGTCGGCAACCATGCCGGGCTGTATCGGCGTGGGTGTCTCTACGCCGTTTGTAGGCTCAGAGGGTGTGGGTGGGATATAACCAATAATGGAAACGCACGAGTAGGCATTGGCCCAGAGGCCGTAGCATTGATTGCCGGCTTTAGGGTTCCAGGCTAAGAAATCTTGCAGTGGAATGCCGTTCTTGGAAGCGACGTTCTCGCAGCTCTCGCCGTTGTTCACCCAGTAGAATTTATTACAGCTGTCGATTATGTCTGGCTGGGTTGGACTGGGAGTTTGAATGCCTGTTGGTTCATCATAAATATGCATCCAGCCAGAGGAATGGAGAGAGTTTTCCAACTTACCGTTAAATGGTTTCGTAGTTGTCGTGGGCTCGGTAGAAGTGGACGTAGTAGTGATAACAGGTTCACCACTAGCCTCCATACAGAAAGAACGAGACTCGAGGAAGTTGTCGCATGTAGAGGTTACCGAAGGATTCTAGCGCGTGTAATTGTTTCAGTGATCCAAGCCAGAGTCTAAAAATGCCATTACCACCCACCCATCGGACAAAGTCTTCTAAAGACACACTGAAAAGATCGAGGGCCTCTGTACATGGCATAGATCCATCATTTTCATACCAAAAGGTGCAGTACTGAGATGTATTCTCGTCGAATGGGAATCTTGGACTGCTTGCACGAGCTAGCAAGCCGGCTTGTTGGTCTGAGTCCCCTGCCAGTGCGTTGGAAAGGCCCGTCACGGCGAGTGCGGCGACTGCAAATATAAGCATATTGGAAGCAGCTCGCAACTACGCGACAAATTTGACGATGGTTTTGACATAGAGAGACGCTATAGAGTACATATTTAATAAACCTAAAGAATAGTAAGTAGAGCAATGATCTCGGCAAAACACAAAAAGCTGGTTCCACAATTAATGATATTTTACCGGCTTGCTGGGTTTTCTTTGAAGTGGCCGCGATCCTTCAGAAATCCTCATCTTACATAGTTGTGCAACAAAGCTAGTGACTTAGTGGGCGAGTCCATGGTTAGCTCTGTATCCGCATAATGCTTCTAGTAGTCATTAAAATGAACCAAGCGAGTTATAGCTGTATTCCTTACCATATATCATGGGGTTTCATTGCAGACGCGGCTTTCTAGTATTACTATATTAATTGCGTTAAATATGCCCACTACCGTTCAGGTTACATAGTACCGTGCCCGCTTGCTCTTATCCAGTAACTGGTCAACGCAAAAGACTTTTTTGAGTCCGGCCTGGATATTAATATTCCTTTTATTACGTCGAAGAGATCCACAAATCAGGCCATTTTCTGCCAAGGTACGGCCAAGATAGCTTCTCAATCGCGCGAATTATAGAAGACTAAGCACAGCTAACAATTTTTTATTAATAATAGAGAATTTGATAATAAAATAGAAAACAGGTAATAACAGGCCCCGATTGCCTACACAAGCGGGTAATACCTTCAATATTTTCTTCTTCTTTTTCTGGCCCCTCTGGAAGTGTGCTACCTTGCCAGCGGGAACCCCTTAGACACCTACAAGGCATAAACGCTAAGAGATTACTAGTAATTTGCATGCAAGTATCTTGTCTGGAGATTTATCTGTCACTATTCTAAATGCGTGGGGACGTATAGCAACGTGGTCCTTTCAAAGGTTTATTAGGGGGAATAATAACGGTCTCGATTCTGACTTTTGTTGAAAGAAATATCTTATATTCTAGCTGCTAGGATAATTCCTTGTAGGCATTTACATTCTTGCCCTCTGGCTTAGTTGGAGCTTGCCCTAATTACTTAATACTAGAAGCAGAAAGCGGCAAAAGATTTATTACTTCTACAGGATGTATAAAAATATGCTATTACGAAGGGTTTCTATAAAAATTATACTTTTCTCTCTCCGAGTTAACGTAGATAACATTATTCTTTGAATTCATAGTCTAATATAAAGCTGATATCATTTCTTGTTCCTAAATAATTGCTCTTTTCTGTCTTGTCCACACGGACGACCTAGCCCTTAAATTAAGCGAAAATATTTCAACTCTAAAAAGTGAGGTATTCTAAAATATCCCAATATTTCTGCTGCCGCCAGAGGTGGATTGAGTCGTTCTAGGGGCCGGTGGCATTTCTTTGATCGTTGAGCTGGGCTCGGTAGTTTCGGCAACAAACTGTTCTGTGGGAGCTGGGCTGGACAGAGTCGGCTTGCGCATAGATTCCCACGGCTCTGGTATTTTGGCCTCAAAGATGTTAAATCGGTCTTTTCCACCGCAGATAGTTGTTTTATCGCCAGCACAAGGCCGGTTACACTCAGCTGCGTTCTTCGCATACTCGCCGCCAATGTAGCTGCTACACCAACATTCATTACCACTTTTCACAGCGGCAAAGTAAAAGCTTAAATGGTAGCAGATGTCTTGACACTTCGGGATGGTGAGAGTGTCGTCACCCCCTTCAGTAGTTATACGTTCCTCTAAGATAGATGGGATGCCCTGATTGTAGCAGCCAAGCTCTGTCCACTTTGTAGGCGAAGGGCCAAGGGTGCTTGTAGTTGAGGTTCTGGTGGTAATAGACTTTGTAGTGGAGGTAGAAGTCGTGGTGGAAGTACCATGTGTTCTTTCGTACTCATCTACCCTTTCCTGAGTTATAATACAGTAGGATTGGATCCTCCATGGTTTACAGTCAAGGTTGATTGAAGGGTTCCATTGTGTAAACATCTCAGCCGGAATACCAAATAGTTGTCTGACGTATTCGCAAGTAACATCTCCAGCGTTATCATACCATCCAGCGCAGCTTTTCACCGTTTCGGGGTCCCATCCCAGCTGAGGGAGCACGTCACCAGCGACTAAAGTCGCGAACTTGAGAACCAAGGCAGGCCTCATGGCGTAAATTCAGATTGCGGGCGGAGAAAACAATAATAATATCTCAAGTATGGAGCATCAATAGTAAAAATCCGTGGTAATAGAGGAGAGAAGATTTAAAGAGTTCAGTTTGTTGTTAGGTGGAAAATGTCAAAGGAAAGAAAAAACTATTGAACAACTAGCATAAACACGTGGGAAAGCCGGCTTTTTTGGCCCCTACACTACTCTGCGACGGCCTGTATAGTTCTGCAGAGATGACCGAATAAAAAATTTTTCTGTTCATCGCGCAATTTCCGTGAATGGAGCATAAGCAGTTCAGGGATCCATTTGCGGAGTAACCAGGCTCTTTTGGAGCAGGCAATTTTCGAGGACAGGTCAACAAGTAAGGCTTCTATACTGAAGCATCAAAGTTGAGCTCAGTTTCGCAAGTGGCGACATCTGCAGGACTCGTGTGACATGTCCTTGCTTGGAATTTTATAAATACCGGGCCTTGTTCCATGCAGCAGCCAATATTGAACACTCATCTCCACCCGGTAAAATCTCTTACTCTCCGTTTTCATCAGGCTGCAGATGCACTCTTGCGGCGAAGACCCTCTCCTCTTCTCAGCCCCACATGAAAGGCCTGTTTTTTGATGTTTCTTGTCGAAGCGAAAGCGACAATAATATCCGATTAGAGCATGGCTACCTTCCATCCATTCCCTCGCTTGCCGTATGAGATTCGAGCCACAATATGGGCATTAGCAGTTGAGCCCCGTATAGTCGATGTGCGAGCTATATCTGGTTCGAGGCTCCCAAGAGGATTCCTTTACTCCGCAGATCCAGAAGAAGAGGTGAAGGATCCATACGTGCCTGTACTCCCACCTGCAATGCTACATACCTGCCAGGAAGCCCGTCAACAAAACATTTATCAAAAGGTCTTTTATTCTGATTCTACTACACACCAGCGTCAAGGGCGTTATACGTGGATACATTACGACACAGATATGATTGATATTGGTCTCGGTTATCTTGAGACTATTTATCACATCAGCTTTGCTATTCGTCGACTTAGATTACATCGTGAGAACAGCGAGTTCTGGTTTTGGACAGAGTCCAAGGACCTAGAGAAATTCCCAAACGTCGCGGAATATCAGGTAGTTGTTGAGGATGGTTTGGAATCTTGGTGCGACGCGTGGGATGAATTTAGTTGGTCATGCGAAAAAAAAGCCCTCAAGTTTATTGATAAGAAAACGGGCCAAATAATGGATCCTGATCAAATTAACGACATGATGGAAGGTGCAAAACATTGAGATCCTGTTTATAGAGAAATACGTTGTAAAATAAAAAGGATATCTAAATTGAACTTAGCAATAATGGAACAATGAAACTAGAACCCGCGTACACTAGATGCAAATAGTGCTCTTTATCTGTTCTCGATATAGCAATGACTTTTCACTTCCCAGGGAGCAGATCTTCTTCCTCCTTCTCAAACTCCATTGCGCTTGGTCCAGTGCTTATTCGCTGTACGCTCTACATGACCGGGAGCGGTCTGCGACTTTTCGGTAACTCCTCCTTACCGCGAGATGCTGCCTAGCATCGCCGGTCGAATAGAACGACTTGGCAAAGTTTCCGAGTCTCGTCGTATAATCCTGAACTCCGGCCTTCTTGGCGGCGAGAGCAGTCTCTTTAAAATCAAGAGCCGTTAATCGTTTACCGGGTCGAATAGGGTCTTCGCCCAGATCCACGATCTGAAGCTCTATCTGGTTGCCGAAATATTTTCGTGCTTGTGGAATAAGGAAACGATTCTGGTCAGCTGTCCGTAAGACGGCGATGCGGTCGCGCGTGTTGTCAAAATCCTCAAACTTGTATTGGCTTGATTTCTTGGTGCTACCATAGTTGGCATATATGTTGTCGACCGTCTCGGCGAGTCGTCTGGTGTAGGAGTTGAAGTCTCCTCTTTCGCCCTTGATTACACGGTAAACCGGGATTTCGGGCACGTTTCCTTTGAACTGCTGGAAACAATATTTAGACGTTTCTTCAACATCCAAGCGTTTTGTTCCCCGCTTGTAGACCGCCCAGCCACTCACTGGGGCCCTCTTCTTTGATTTGAGAAGGTTGAGGAACTCGTCATAATTGCATCTGCCATTGGCAGCGGATCCCGCACAAGCCTGCCATTTGCCTGTGCAGGCTCTGTTTTTGTTATCCCAGCGAGTGCAACTGAATCCAATGCTGCGGTCTTTAGGATCGTTAAACTCGTCGAGGACGTATGCCTGGTAAGCTAAAACACGCTCCATGCATCCGTGTAGCCCTCCTGCCAAAACTCTCACCGCATGGCACAAGAGCGCAAACAAGAAGAAACAGCATTTCATGTTAGCCTGTTGAGCGAGCGAGAGACTAATGTTGGCAGATTCTGAAAAGTTCGCTGGAGTCTATGGCACAAGAAGACTTGTGGCGGCGCGAGTTTGGAAAGGGAGCCAGGTAAGTTATGGTTTACGGACGTCTTACCGTTTTCACTTTGATTTACTCGAAATCATCATTCCTGTAATCCACCTTATAGACTATAGCTTTCACGCGGAGGCTATAGTTTCGCTGTGCACACGCCGCGGCTCGCTTAGATCAGGTCAAGAGCTTGCGGGGAACACCCCGTGACAATCCTTTGTCTCGCGGATGGGACCCTTGCAGATTAAACTGCATTGGCTATAGAGGGAGTGGTGAGATATTAACTCCTTTGTACAGGGGTCTCGCATCCGGCTTGGCAGCCATATGCAAGAAAAAGAGAAAAAGATAATAATTGTGCGGCGTAGGCATATTAATGGCCTGTCATTGTGTTTTGTTCGTGCTCCTTCATCGTAATAGTAGCAGAGGGCGGCAAAAAGAGCACTGGATACTAGATTGACCTGAAAAGTATGTCCCCGGCCTTTTTTTCCCGCCTCGGCTTACCCCTT